ATCTCAGCCTTCAATGGATCTTGGATTCAGGGTAACTAACCACTGCCAGCGGCGCTGTTGCTTTTGTCCTTTTTTAAACTTTTCTCTGCGCATTTATTGTTTATAAATTCCTCTCAGTGATACTGGTTTTGGAATAACGTTAACTTATCTTGTGTTTTATTATCTCTACTAGTAGAGGTACCTTTAGTGCCTTTGCTCTGTTTTATTGAGGGAGATAAAAACAGTTTTATAAGTAATGATCTGTTACGTCCTGTCCCCGGCTGTAACACTGCTCTCCCCTATGTAACCTAAATTATTCCAATGAAATCAGTTCATCTAAGCCTGGGCGGCATTGTTAACCAGTAATCAGTCATTACCATGTTTTGGACTTTCTTTATTCACAATATGAGAAGCTGGGACAGGCAGGCCACAACATCCTGAACTGGTTCAGAGGAAGAAGGCTGGATGGTAAACGGTTCAGATGATGCTTTTTTAAATGCCTTCCTATAACCAGAGGTGGCAGTAGTCCACACGTTTGTCACTACAGAGAAATGCTGTGGTTCATGTTCTCTATAACTAAAGTGGAAAAAGTACAGGCTCTGAAAACAATATTCTTACGCAAGAGTACAAAGTTTATTTCAGCTCTAATTCTAGTGACGCTCAGCTCGAACCTTCGTTATGTGGAACACAAACAGCGAAGAAGAAGTTTGTGTTTCCCCGCCACCACAGCTGAACACGGGTACAGTCAGGGGATCAACTGGGATTGATCAGGTGGGGAAGGTCGGGTGTAGCGGCTCAGCGTGGGTAAAAAGGGACCAGGATTTCTGTTCAGGCTGTGATCAGCTGACCTGCTGCTCTTTATGGACTTGCTGGACGTTTCTTCCTGTTCAAAGGGACGTTTTCTCTTCCCACTTTCGCCAAGTGCTTGCTCATAGGTGGTCATCCGATTGTTGGGCTTTCTCTGTATTAGGGTCTTTACCTTACGATATAAAGGAGCTTGTGGAGACCGCTGTTGTGATTTACATGACTCAGGTCAACAACACGTGAGCTGACGAGCCGTCACAGCTGACTCCAACCCTGCACACGTGCACTTCAGCTAGTCAGTATGTGCTGCCCTCGATGTCACCTCACCCCAGCACAGTGACGCTTTGCTGATGTATATCTGTGTGACGGCAGACACAGGAGTTACACACTGTGTAGCTTGTGTTTGATTACTGGGAAGAGGTCATTTCTATGTTGCTTAGAGCCGCTTTGCCTACACC